CTATGCTGCGACCCTCGGGGTGCCAGGGTCCTCTGCTCCAGGTGCCCCCTGGGGACCCCCAGCCCTTCAGAACCCCCTGCTTGCTCTCTATGGGCAACACGCACAGCGAAATCACAGAAAGCATCTCGCTTCTCCTCACCCGAAAACAATTTTGAAAATGAAAGCAGGGAGGCAGAGCCGGGCGACGTTATCTCGCTCCTTTTTACCGTTTCAGATAAGAAACAGCCTTTCATGTCTCCCAGGACGAAAGGCAATTTGCATTTCAAGAGGTCAGGACGTAGCTATTTCTTTTTACCATCTGAAATCAGTTATTAAAAGTCTATTTGGAAACAAAGCAAGGCACGAATGGAAAGGAGCTCAGGCTCAGATGAACACCTCCTGTCACCCCGATTTCCCTGGCTGCTGCTGGAGGATGCTGAGGCGAGGAGGTACGGGCATCGCCGAAGAGGGAAACGGTGCAAAACCATGAGCTCCTCTGTACGGCTGGAGCTGTTCCGGCCATGGGAGACCTGCTGGGCTAAGGGAGACAGGGGTCTCCCCTGGGAATCGGGGGGCTTTGCACCCCACAGCCATGCACAGGCTTGGCTCTAGAAAGGGCACTGCGGCGAGGATAATTCAATGCCCATCTCCCTGCAAAGCCTGCCTCCCTGCTCGCTGCCAGCTCCCGCGCTCGCCCGGGAGTGGGACCTCAGCCTGGCCCCGGCAATCCAATTCTGCCTAATAAAAAGCCTCTGGCAGCCCCGAGCAGCCCCCGAGCTCGGCTGGGGTTTGCTGGGTGCCGCTCGCTTTGTTTTCTCAGCTGCTGCCTCTGCCCTCCCTGAGCTCACCGCTGCCGCTTATTTATATTGGAGTTTGCATTAGCAGATGCACTCTGGGATATTCAATTACCTATAAAGAGCTGTAGCAACGCAAGCCTTTGCTGGAGCGATCAAGGGGCTTGGTTTAGGTCTGGTTTTGTGTTGGTTTTTTGTTTTTTTTTTTCCCTCTCTTGGTTTTGGGTGTTGGGTTTTTGAACTTGCTTTTAAAGGAGACGTGGGGATGAGTAAAGTGGTGGTATTGAATTAAAAAAAAAAAAAAAAGTGGAGTAAAGAGGGGGGAGAAATAAATAAATAATCCTGTTTATGAAATGAAATGGCCGGGTAGAAAAATGATCTCCAGGAAGAAAGCAGCTCCCAGGGCTATTTTTAGCTCTTCTGTTTCTTTTTCTCCCTCCCTCCCCTTCCCCAGCGCAGGCTGGGGTTTGGTGCATGTCAGTCCCACTGCTCCCTCACCTCTTGAGTGCCAGGTGATGCTTTTTTTGTGTGTTTTGGGGGGGGGTTTATTTATTTTATTTTTTGCCTCTTATTTATAGCACAGGGGGAAGGCGGCAGCAGGCAGGAGAGGCTGCACAGGCATCACCCTCAGCCCTGGCTGGGAAAACGGGGGAGCAAGGTGGTGGAGGGGGTGGCGGGGGCTGTGCCTCTCCTGCAGGACCTGTGTCAGCAGTGGAGTTGCCCCAGAGCTGGACTTTGCTCCTCAGCAGCTTCAGGGGCTGCTGTAACCCCTGCAAAGGCCCCTTTGCCCAGGTCCCGGCAGGGTGCAAGTGGTGGCGTGCCCTGC